CAACTCATTGACTTAAGATGTTTGATGGTATCTTAAGAAGTTTTTCATTGCTTTGCCTGCTGTGTGCTCAATCACATTCATGCATGTGTTTGCAGCAAAGGTAAATACCTATGTACAAATATCCTTTTTCAAATCCTTATATATCTGTAGTCATACACCTACCACTCCTCTCAAACCTGTTCAGCCTATGTATGTGTCCATGTTCCATGGTTGTATATATACCACACTCTTTACTTCTGTCCTCTTTAACCCTTGCTTACCTCCCTTTGCCTTCATCTGTCTTCATCATTCTTTTACCAACATTCCTCTTTTTGTATATTGTCTTCCCATCATCCAAGTTAACATGTGTCTACTCTCTTCCCAGTGTATAAATTTTCCTTCCCTTCCATTCCTGGAAACCATCACAGAAATGAAAACCTTTTCTTGACTTTTTGCAATTGTGGTCTCACACACTATTTGTCTTTTTGTGATTGGCTCATTACACTCAGCATGGTATCCTCCAGGTTCATCCATGTTATGAGGTGTTTTGCATAGTCATTGTTATTCTTAAACATTGCATAGTGTTGAATTGTATGTATGTACCAAAAGTTTCTTTATCCATTCTTCCATTGATGGGCATTTAGGTTGTCTTGTCTTTTTGTTATTATAAATAGTGCTGTGATGAGTGTGCATATATCTACATGCTCTTATATCTACTGGCTCTTATTTCTTAGCTATACAGTTTTTGCTACTTTAATTCCTTTAATATATTTCTAAAATATTGTATGTGCATTCGTGTATGAGCGCATTTGTGTATTTGTACTTGTGCATGTGTTAGAATCTTCTTAAGGGATTTCTTCATATATACTGAGAGGATGCAACTGTTACAACTGACTTTAGTGTCATTTCTTTCAATTTCTAATGTTCACAATATAACAAGTGATTGTAAAACCAATCCACATGCATGGTATTTGGATCAAAAATAAAATTTGGAAAAATTTTCTGAAGGTATATAAATGGGAACATTTTGAATTGGTTTAATCTCCTAAATTCATGGTCTCTAGTGTCAGTGGTTCAAGCTCACCAGCTGCTCCTTGGAAACCCTATACAGGGTTGCTAAGGGTCGGAATTGACTCGACGGCACTTAACAACACTCAAATTGAAGTTACTATATAAGGACTCTTTTACATAATTTAAGGTTAAAATGCTCTTGATTGAATAAGGAATTAATGAGGTAATTGTTTTGTTCTTAAATTGTCTGTAAGATTAGTTTTTTATCTGATTTCTACCTTATGTTGTTTGCAGTGTATATGCTCCTGATCCAATAGGGTTTTGGCTTACTCCAAATTGACATGATTTTCTTAGTCATTTTGACTCTTATTTAGCTGTGCTTTTTTAAAAATCAAAGCCCATCTGTAGTTTGTATGTGTGCATATACATTTATACAGTCTCCTACAGAAAACAGTTTAAAATAAGAACACAGATTTTCTAATTTGTGTGTGTGTGTGTGTG